TGGGAACCAAACGAGCATGCATCACAAGCTCCATGCGAGCACTCTTTCCAATAGGGAGCTTTGAATGAATGCTTTCTTATGGGGCTGCCAGGTTACGTAACAGTGTTTTACTTGGTTAGTACTCCGTAAGTACCTGTGTCAGTATCCCAGCCACTAGAAGAGAAGTTAACCCTCCAACGTTTCTCAAAAACTTCAGTGTTTTGCATTGCAGGGTTAAGGGGACAGAGACACTGCACCCAGACCATTTCATTGATTTGAAGTGGTCTGGATGACTATAGCGTTACTTTAAGTGACTGGTACGGACAGGCTCTAATAGTTCTCCAGCGGCATGTGTGTGTATATAAAAGAAAAAAGAACTTCTGTAAACACATGTTTATTTCTAACAGACAATAAATCTCACAAAAAACAATACTTTATGAAACTTGTTACAAAAATGTAAATACTGTACAGGAAGTAAATAGTGACAGTATCCCAGTGAGAATCGTAAAAAATAATCGGTACTCAAACACCTTCGTGAGTATCCCTTTTTCCTCACAAAGAACCTAAATATACATACAGAATAAGGTGGAGTTTCCTCTTATTTTAATACCTGATGTTAGCAGATATACCTAAAAATAAAACAGAATAAAACACATAATAGTGCAATAACGCCTGTATACAATTTGGGAGTTCGACAAAATGATGAAATATCACTCACAAAAAAAGAGCTTGTAAATAAGGCTCAAATATCCAGCTTTGTGGGATGTCAAGGTTCCCACTCCCTTCTTTATACTGCCAGGGAATTGCAAATGATGAGGTATCCTCTCAAAAGTGGGTGTAAAGATAAGGTGCTTTATTAAAAGTGCACAAGTAGTAGTAAAACAAATAATAAAGAAAATCAAAACCTTACAGTTGGAATGTTAGTCTTTTAGAATAGTCCTTTGTATTGCAAAACGCGTTTCGCCTCAGTTGCTGATGTCCTGCTGGTCGTAAATGTCCTTTTAAATAGTCCATATACTTACTACCGTCAGTTCATGCGGTCGGGTGGTATTTCCGCTTCCGGGTTTTGCGTTCTATCGGTGGAACGCATGTATCGGCAGAGTGCATATTTCCTTTTCCTATGTAGTGCAACCCATCCTTGCGTTCCACTGCGTATTCGCAATGTATTAGTCTCTTTCACAGCTTAAGACAATCCATAATGGGTACAATATAAATAAAAGAAACAGATATATCAATCACTTGTACAGCATTAGGCAATTCGTAAATATATCAAATGGTAGGGAATATTATAAAACAGAGCAAATATTCAATAGTGTTATTGATAAAAAGTAAAGAATAAAATAGAAATAAAAATACTCAATGATACAATACTCAATGATCAATGATCTTAATATTAGACCACGTTCAATAAGATAACATAGGTGAATGAATAATTCATAATTAAAATAAATAATATGGTACACCGTATCCAACTATTTTTAAAATCATTATAGTAATCCAGATTTTAACCAGAAAGGTGATTTATTGTGCATAATTCCAATAAAAGAAGAGAAGTACATAAAAAGTACTACTATATAAAACGTTAAAAGATAAAATAAGGGTCCTCTTAATAAAACTTGTATAAAAATCATTATAAATATAAAAACTTTTTAAAAGTGGCACACCTCAAAATCAGAATTTAAACCATGGGGAATCAAAGTTTTAAAATTATAAATAAAGCGCATTTCTTTTTTGCCCAATATTTTAATATAATTACCCCCTCGCCAGTCTCTTTTTACTTCTTTTATTGCATAAAAAAACAGGTTTTCTGGATTTTGGTTATGAATCTGTTTAAAATGTAAGGACAAACTGTGGGTTTCTAAGCCATTTCTAATGTTACAGATGTGTTCAGCAATCCTAACTTTCAAAGGTCGAATGGTCCTTCCTTCATATATGAGATTGCAGGGGCATTTCAGGAAGTATATAATGCCCTTTGTGTGGCAGGTTAGGTGATCTTTAATAATATAAGGCTTATGAATTATATGTTCTATATTTTCTAAACGTCTCTTCTTACTTTTAGTGGTTTTGCATGGGAGGCATATACCACACCCATAGAAACCTGTTAAATCTTGAATGAAATGCTTTGTTTTTTTGGGGAGTTAGATGACTTTTAACTAAAATATTTAAAATAATTTGCTCCTCTGTATGTGATTTTTGGTTTGGAAGGTAACATTTTATTTAAAATCGGGTCGTCCTTCAGTAGGTGCCAATGTTTCTTAATAGTTTTCTGTATACGTCTGTTTTGTCCATTAAATTTACAAATAAAAGGAACTTCGTTAGTGTCAACTGTTTCTTTTTTTGGCTTATATTGGATAAGGTTTTTTCTATTTAATTTTCCAACTTCCTCCATTTCTTGGTCTAAAAGTACTTCATTGTAACCCTTTTCTATGAATTGTTTTTTAATAGAATTAGCCTGTTCTAGATAATCTATATCTTGTTTACAGTTACATTGGATTCTTAAAAATTTACTTTTGGGGGCATTTTTGAGTCAAGGTTTATGGTGACAACTACCTTTCTCTATGTAACTATTGGCATCTACCGGTTTGAAATAGTTTTTTTATCACTATCATAGATTCCTGAATACTGATATCTAGATCCAAAAAAATGATTTTGAATTCACTATAATGACTAGTTAAGTGTATTCCATAGTCATTAGTGTTTAAATATATGATAAACTCCTGTAGAGCCTCTGTGGTTCCGGTCCATAGGAAGTGAATTCTAATAAGGTTTTTCAATAAATCATAACTAGTAAAGCTAGTAGTCAAGCTTTAAATCAGGGGTGTCCAACTGGCAGTGCGGCCCGGTTGCAGTCTGAGTGGCGAGGGCAGAGCTGGACTGACACGGCACCTTGCAGACAGCTCTAATCATTAAAAAAGGCATTTCAATTATTTTCCCTTTGGACTGTGAGAGCCTGTGTCAGTCTGAGGGGATTGATGATAGAGGTGCTGGAGGCTGCTGCAGCCATGTTTAGTGTGCTGGCAGCCAGAGGGAGACCAATGAGGCTCCCTTTGCAATTCTTGGCAATTCTGTGCCCAAGCCCCGCCTCTGGTGTGCAAGTCCCGTCCCTGCAAACAAGTCCAGTGTGTGTATGGGTCTGATTTTTGTGTGCATTTATGTGATTGTGTGTGTAGGTCTGCGATTGTGTGTAGAGGTCTGTGTATGTATGTGATTGTATGTGTGTATGTATGTATGTTACTATTTGTATAGGTCTTTTACTGTATGTGTCTGTGGGTCTTTGATTGTGTGTGCGTATATTTGTAATTGTGTGTATAGGTCCGGGATTGTATGTGCGTGTTTGGGTCTGTGATTGTATGTGTATGTCTATGTGTATGATTATGTGTGTGTATGTGGCTGTGTATAGATCTGTGATTGTATGTGTGTGTGTGTGGGTCTGTGATTGTGTTTATATTTGTGATTGTGCGCGTGTGTCTGTGATTATGTGTGTATTGGTTTGTGATTGTGTGTGTATGCAAGTTTGTGTGTGTGTGTGTGTGTATATCTGCGGTTATGTGTGCATATGCATATACATGTGTATATGTTTAGTAGATAGCTCCCTAATTTGGTATCCTTAAATATGGCAATCCCACATAAGGATAACAAATAAGGGAGTTATCTACTAAATAATTGAAATATCAAAATTTAGAAAAGGGGATTTGAAGTTTTATTACATTAAATTATTATATTATAGATTTTATGTGTCGTGCAAGGCAATTTCCTCTGCGGTCAATGCGGCCCAGGGCAGGCAAAAGGTTGGACACCCATGCTTTAAATCATAGCTAACTTGGAAAAAATTTCCGATTTCACTATTATTGTGTAAAATTTGCAATTCTGAGTTACTATTCCACACAATTAATAGTTTATTGAATAACCTTGTGTTAGACTAATGCAGGTTGGAGTGTTTTCATACTATGCAACCATTTTAAATGTTCCCCTTTGTTTTACACCTTACACGACCTCGCACTGACATTTCCTTGGCAACAATCTGTGTGTTTTCATTTCATCTAAGCCTCTTCAAGGTGTTATTTTTTTCTTCTCCAGAGTAAACAAAGCATCTCATGTCTCGAAAAGAGATTAGCAGATCATCTATTAGTGATCTGTCCTTATTATAGAAACATTCCAGTAAATGCACAACAAGAAAATATATATCAGTTGATAAACAGAACCAAACTTGATATTAATAATACATTTGGTTCTGTGTCATGTTTTGTTATGTGTTTATCTATTTGCCGTTTAAATTAGTGCATGCACCCATTTCATGTACTTTTTACCACGTAGCAGAAGAATGTCCAGTATTGACCCACCTCTGATCATGGTATTGTGATTCCAATAATTTTGCATTAATTGGACGCTAGTCCAACAATAATTGGCATGGCCTCTGTTTTAGAACCAGAATGGGTGTTAGAATAGGTTATGGTTTAAAGTCATAAAATGATTTTAGGAGGCAGTTAGTTTTGCTCCATAGGTGGGTGGTAGATGTTTTTATATTATCTTTGTAACAGGCAAGACCGGCTTGTATAGTGTGTCTATAGTCAATGCTAGTCTACATAGATTCTCATGTAGACTTCAACTATTGATTTACTAAAAATATACCTGCAGATCTGTAACACTTTCACATTTGTTTATACACTATGTTTATTACTTTATGTTTTTACACAACAAGCTGCTGTTCATATAAACTGTACCACATTTTCTAATTATTGATTTCCTTGCTGCTGACATGTTTCCCAGCTTTCTCTTGCAAGCCTGATTGTTCTTTATCAACTTTCACCTCAATTTATTTTTTTTAATTCCTTATTTTTTATTGTGCATGGAGTAACGATAACATCTTACACTGCCACAACAGCATGAATAAGTAACTCAATAAAATTGTATTGCACAGGTATGGCACTGGGGTAAAGACACATTTTAGTATATTGGTTGGAAAAGCTAGTATGGTCCGCTATGCCAGTGGAATTTCATCAGTAAATACAGGGTTAAACATGCTATTTCAGCTGGCATTCAGCGTATAGAAAATTATGATAATGATTAATGAACTTCAACGAATTGTCTAGGTCTTGACCCAAATAGGCTGTGTGATTTGGGGTGTGAGAGCCAAGGCGTGAGAGTGAAGGGTAGAATGGTGTTGGTCTGGGGGGTGGCGGGGTGACATCCCCAATATGTGTGCCTCGTTTTTGCCAGCCGGTGCTAGAGGTAAGATGGTGTGTATGCACAGTCCTGTCTAGGTGTCTGGTCAAGTTTGTGTGGCCGTTTGCACGACTGTATCTCCCAATAGTGACGGTGCCTTGTGGTGTCGCCATAGCGTCTCGGTTTGTTATGTCGCTTCTGTACTGTAGTCTGGGGCCGTCCACTAGGGCCTTGGGTCTGGTGAGTAATAGCATAATAAGATAGAGTAAGTTAGACTACTGTCTTTGGGTCTGGGGCACATCTATGGCTATGATGGTAGTTAGCGTTCCAGGTCATCCTGGAGTGGTTTAGCGACGTTTGTCATAGGTTGCTACTGCAGTACCCCGACTTAGTGATGCTTAGGTATACCCTGTTACTCCGGGTGGAGGGGGGAGGAGGGAGGGTTGTTATACTGTGTACGAGGGCGTTTGGAGGGGCTGTTGGACATGTGGTATGGTCGTGCATTGGATGGCTAGGTATAGTGAGGGTTGCCTTAAGTAGGGGGGTCCGGAAAGTTCCTAAAACATACGTGAGTTTAAATGACTTCAACAGGTGGGACATTAACTCCTCTGAGACCTAGAGGTCCGAAGGCAGGTCGGCTCTTGTAGCTGCATCAGGTGTTGGCTGCTGTGTGGGTCTCCATCCCGCCCCATCTGGGGACGAATGAGGCTACTTTTGCAGGGTCTCCAATGTTGGATGGTACTAGCGTAGTGGTGTTCTCCGCAATGGGCATAGAGTTCATGTCAAGGCCCAGGGTGGGCAGTAGTTCAGTAGCCCCCTGCATATCCCGGATGATGGATGCAGAGTTCCCTGGTGGACCATGAGTTTGTCGGGCTTTGGCTTTTTGGTTTTTCGGCCCATATCGTTGGCTGTGGTCTGGGGATCAGTTTGGTGTCGGTTTTTCCGAGTTTGGGCTGTGATTGCTGGCCCAGAGTTCTTGATTTTTGCAGAGCTCATGCTGCATGCAGCCATTCAGGTCAGTTGCTTGGCTCTGCCCCCCTTTACCTCAATTTTAACTTTTCAATATAGAGCTTTTTATTTATTTTTCTTCTTGTCTATCACAATTCTGTTCATTAAGACATATAGAATCTGCTTTCTGGAGTGGTACACATATGTCTAAATTACTAAAACCAAGCCCTCTCTCTAAATTATGATATATTTATTTGGAAAGACTTTAAATGTTTTTGATCATACTTTACTTACTGCTCTTTCGATGTGTCTTATTCTTTGGAGAATTAATGAAATCCCTCAGGAGCATAGTGATTCTCACATTAAAGGGTGCCTGTCATGTCATGACAAATAAAACTTAATATTAAATTATAATCAAATTCCATATATACATTTTGTTAGCAGAATTGCCAGCAAATATCTAGATATCTCTAAAATCAAAGATTAAAAACAGTCTTTTCTCTTCCTGTCAGTCGATTCAGTCTGTGCCAATTGGCACAGAGACAAGAAGCTGTGCTCTGCCTTTCTTTTATTAGGGGATCTCTCCTCAGTAGGTCTCTCCTGCTTGCCTTCAGTCTAAGGGAAAGCAATGTCTGCAAAGGGAAGTAGGGAGGTGGGTCAGACTGCAGTGTGAGAGCCAAAGTAGCAGCATAGAGAAAGACCCGGAATGATTTGTTGCTGGAGTTTTGGAATCTGAGAAGAGAGAGAGAAAGCAGGTTTTATTTACATACCAGAAAGACAATATAATATGTAGATGTCTGTGCTTCTCAAACAAGGATATGCAGCAGAGGTATAGCTTTTGTTTTATTTTGTAAAAAGGTGCTGATTTCTTGGTAACACCTCCTAACTGTTCGTTTTAAGCAATCATTCAAAGTCGATGTGATGACTTCTCACAGAGAATCTCTTGTTCAAATACTTCTCTTGAGAACTGCAGTGTGTGCTGCACATGTGCCCTTTGTCCAAATGCTTTTCTATCAAGAGCATTAGATAGTCTGGGATATCTTTACTAGTCAATCTACGGCTTCTCGCCGGTGGATTCATGTAAAAAAAAGTTAGTTTTTGAGGGATACAATGGGAGACACTAAATCTACATTGCATTTATTTCTAACGTAAGAGTGTTCCCCAAATAGGAAATAAGTCCCCTTGCCAGGGTTTTTAAAAAAAATATCATTTAATTTATTTGGCTTTTCTATAATAGTCTTAAATATTTGTATTTGTCTGCTCCCATAATACATCTATTCTATGTCTTTGTCAAAATATATATGTTGCAATAGATTGATTTTAGCTGATAAACATTAATGTCTCATATTGACTGATTTGCTATACTTTCTCAACCCAATTAGATTTGCAAGCAATCTAGCACACTTTAGGGACAGCGTTAAGACTAATTTGCTAATGTGCTCTCATGTATTAAGGGAAGCTCAAGTGATTCCTTTTGTGATGTCAAATGCAGTTTAGCTTTTGCTCCTGTGCACTGTACAATCTATTCAAGACATGGGGTTTCTCATGCAACACATGCTAATTAGTGATGAATCACTAGGAGTGAAAAGAAAACATGTTTTATTGACTATAAGGTTAACCACACAAAGGAACACTGTCAAATAGTTCCTTTAACCCAGGACTTTTCCTTTCAGTATATATATCAACTGTATACCCCGTATTTAAGATGTGCCATTATATTCAACTGAGGTTTTCATTCCTGTAGGTAAATAAAAATCGAAATATCTTTTGCAAATTGTATGTTATTTTAACGTTGGCCCAGGGAGTCATCTCAGGGTTGGAATCTTGATTCATGAGTGGGCGTTCCTACCTCAGCCCTCAATGTCAAACCCTGACCTTGAGGGTTGTCACATATAAATCACGGGGCAGCAATCCAGTCAGTGCTATGACAGAATTAACGTTTTCAATCAAAATGCATTGCATTGCATAAACATCCAGCATACACTGTGGTTAAGAAGGTAATTATGTGTTGAATTTTTCCAACTTCCTCAAATGTAATAAGGCTAAGCAAACATAGTTCTTAGCTGGCTTACTGTTGGCTCATGATGATGGGGTTTGTTGTTTTACAGTCCTTTGAGAGTTATGGTACTCAGCTGCACTTGACATTTAAACACATGCTGAGAATTTCACTAGAACAGTCTATGGAGTTAATAATAACACCTATCTTGAACAGACCTTATTATGTACACTTATGTTGAAGACAAGTCTGTTTGAACATTTAACGTGCCAGTACCCACTGCAAATGTGGTTTATATAGACTACAATAAAGGATGTTACTTGCTTCAAATCACACAGTGTTATTTGCTAAATTCCAAATTGTAACAAATTCAAATCTGAATAGTAAAATTAAAGGGACACTACAGTCACCCAGACCACTTCAGCTCAATGAAGTGGTCTGGGTGCCAGGTCCCTCAGGTTTTAACCCTTCAGATGCAAACATAGCAGTTTCAGAGAAACTGCTATGTTTACATTTGGGGTTAAGCCAGCCTCTAGTGGCTGTCTTCCGGACAGCCACTAAAAGGCGCATCTGCAATGATTGAGGCATATTATGCTTTCCTACGGACCTTTGACGTCGGACGAGGACGCTCCTGTGACGTCGGACGAGGATGCTGACGTCAGCGGGGGAGGAGAGGTAAGCCGACAAGTATTTTCACTATAAATTGAAGACAAAATTTGAAAACAAAATAAAAGGTTAAAAATATAAATTCTTAAACTTAGCTCTGCCTTTTGACTATATTGATCTAAATATTGCAAGTTAGCCTTTCAGTTCACCTGAGTTGCTGTTTAGTAAATGAACCCTTACAAAAGTGTGTTTACCGTTCCTCTTCTTGTTCCATGCAAAGCTAAAGCAGTTATCCTGTTCTATATAACTTTTGTTGCAGTGCTGGTTTCTTGCAGGAGTAGTAACAGCAATATATTCTCAACACTTGACATGGTTTTCCATGACTAGTCTCTATTAGATTTGAAACAGAAAAATATTGCAACAATTTAAAATATACTTTTAACGGCATTCAGTTCCTGTACAGTGCATTGTTGGCCTCTGCGGCATGTAATGTGTTAATACACTCATTCGGTACTTGATAAATGACCCCATATATCTTCATTGCTTGTGCATGAACTTCTCAGGCACCCTTGTTCCACTCTACCCTTATCAGAGCACTTACTTCATTGGAAAGCCTGGGCAGTTATTCTTCATTCAATTACAACGTAATATGGTGTGATCAGACCTACTCTGCCTGGCAACACATTAACCCCCATTACTGCTAATATAATTCTGCATAGCTTCTCAAAATGTGCTTAGTTGTCTATATTTTCAGGTGATCAGAAATACCCAGTGGTAGCAAAGACACTGTCACATAAAAATATATATATATATATATATATATATATAGGTCATATCCAAAGGAGGGGGCATTTGCCCCCCCTTACCCTATGCTGAGGACATTTACAAAGAATGGGCAAGTATGTATGAAACCAAGAGTTCTTTTTTCCATGGTTACATTTAACTTCTTCCTTATCAGAAGAGACACTGTATACAGTACTGTCACATTTAACTTATTACTGCACTGAATTCAGTCACTGATGGCCACTGAGCTATGCCCTGCATTCAGGGCCGGCGCACAGATTTTTGACTACACAGGTGAAGATGCATTTTGCCCCCCCTTCTCCCAAAAAATGCATCTTCACCTGTGTGTCCCTTAATCCCCCCTCTCAAATTTCTTAACCCTTTTGTGTTGTTTAACCTCCCTTTCTTGTATTACACTCCCTTTTTCTTTCCCTTTGCATTGCTTACACCCCATGCATTGTGTGTCCCTTACTTCCCACCAGTCCCTTTTTGTGTCTCTTTCTTTCTCCAGTCCTTTTGTATGTCTCTTTCTCCCCTTCCCAACCCCTATGTGTTTCCTCCTCCCCAGCCCTCTGGGTGTTTCCCTCTAGCTTCTGCCTCTTTTTTTTGCTCCTTCACTAGACACTGTCTATTTTACCAGTTCCCCAACCCCTCTTTGTTTCATTGTGTGACCCTCCAGCCCATTTGGGTGGCTCACCCCACTGTGTCTCAATTCCCAAGCCCCCCCCCCCGATGTGTCATAATTCCCGAGCCCCCTTTCTACCTCCTGCCCCATCCATTTGCCATCTTACCTCCATCCTGTGTGTAGCACAGCCAAGCACGGACCGCAGGAGAAAAGCATCTGTTTCCCTCTCCCCGGTCTGACAGGAAGTAATTTGCCACTCTCAGTGAACGCTTCCTGTCAGACTGCGGAGAGGGAAACAAAAGCTCCTCTCCTGCGGTCTGCATTCAGTCACGCTACAATCAGAGACTGGCAGGAGGGGAGCACTGTACTCTCCTTCTGGCAGTCAGCTGGATACAGCGTCCCAAGGCTAGTGCACCCTAAGGCAGCCGCCTGTACCGCTTTATGGTAGCACCGGCTCTGCCTGCATTGGTTATCTTACCTAAGAATAGCAAACAGAAATACAGAATCCTGCTGAGGAACTTCTGGCTCTTGGGAGATGGTAGGAAGCATCACCGGCAGACCCCAAACTGTTCTAAAATTATTATTTATAATGTGCATGCATATTCAGCTATACATTTATAGAAGGGGAAATGCATTGATCACAGGTAGATGACATACAAAATATTAACAGAGACAAAAGGTTAAGAAGGCAAAGAAAAAGAAGGCCCTGCTCTAACAAGCTTACAATATTTGAAGTTTGATTACTAATGATTGTGGTGCTTCGAGTATCCCATTAAATAATGACTTACCAGAGGTGACACTGTATTCAGTACAGTAACATTTAACTACTAACCTACCAGAGGTGGCACTGTATTCAGTACAGTAACATTTAACTACTAACCTACCAGAGGTGGCACTGTATTCAGTACAGTCACATTTAACTACTAACCTACCAGAGGTGCAACTGTATTCAGTACA